ATAACCTTTCCCGGAAGGGGTGGGCCTAGAGCCTGGAACCAGGGCTCCTGCCCCTCCCCCACTCACCTCTTCCCCCCCACCCCCACCCCCGTCTCTCCCTAGGGGGGCTGGTGTGTCTGACCACCCGGACCAACCCATCCAACCTTCACTACAAGGAGGCCCTGGAGGCTACCCTGGACAGGCTGGAGCAGGCCGGGGCATGGGAACGCCTAGTGGCCTGGCCTGTGGACCAGTGGGAACTGGCCACATCCGAGCTTGAGGTGGTGCCCAGAACTTCTGACAGCGATGGCTTCATCTCTGGCATCGTCTACCTGTACCGAAAGCAGGAGGGGGCCCAGGTGGAGGGAGTGAGGCCCAGTCCTCAGCCCCCAGCTGGCCTCTGACCCTCTCATCCAGGTCTCCTCCAGGCCCGTCCTTGGGCCTCCTCTGCTTCATCTGTAAAATGGGGCCCCTGAGCCAACCTTGCCCATTAAATGAGTCCCAGGAGGGGTAGCAGGACTCTGGCTCTGTGAGTCTCTTCCCCAGGAAACTGACATCCGTCCCTGAGAAGGACAGAAGTGAGAAGAGATGGAACAGAGAGGGCCCCCACCCCAGGCCGCCCCTGAGCCAGCCCCACAGATGTAACTTCCTGACACCTCCCGTGGTGGGCCCTCTCACGCTTACTCAAGGACAGGAAACTCATGCCCGTGCCTCTGGCCTTGGCCAAATACCTTCACATGGCCAGGATTCAGTTTCCTCCTCTCTAAAGGAGCCGGAAAGCTGAGCTCAGGGCGTGTCTGCCCGGTGAAAGGGTTCAGTGACCCCCGGGCCTTGGGGGTATGATCAGGACTAATGATAATTCCTCCACACAGGGACTGTGGGAAGGCTCGTTAGGGAGGAAGACTGAAGCCTGGCCTTCAGGACAAGCAGGATTCCGAGGGGTGGAGAAAGGCAAAAAGGACATTCTAGACCCACAGCAGGAATCAGCCTGGGCCAAGGCCAGGACGTGGGACCTGGAGGGTGAGCACGCCAACCTGGATGCCCAGGTTCGGACAGAGCTGGGACAAAGATGGATAGAGGGCAGGTGGCCCACCCCCCAGGGCTGAGTGTTCTCACGTGGCCTCCCCCATGGGGTCCCCAGCACTTCCGCAGTGCGTTTCCTATGATCGCCTTGACCTTCCAGCAAACGAAGGGCTTGAGCGAGGTGATTCCCAAGGTGAGGGCGAGCTCTGATTTGTCACAGTTCCTCGAAACCAGGTTGTTGTTGTGGTTTTTTTAAGTACTCCTCCCTCACCCCTGCCCAGGCTTCTAGCCCTCCCCTGCCCACCTTCACGGCTGAAATCAGAAACGATATGGTCTTCCTGTGCACAGGTCCCATTTATTGTAGAAAATTATAGTAATTACCATGACAAACAGATATTAAGTTACAAAACAGAAACCAGAGAGGAGGCAGGGAAAAAAAGGTCCAGGACTTCCTGGGAATGAAGGCCAGAGAAAGACCGTCCCCCCTGCTCTTCCCAGGATGCCCAACGACCTTGGCACGAGTGGCGAATCCAGGCGTGACCGGTCACAAGAGGCTGGGGTCCTCCTACCCAGGCCGCTGAGGCAGAGCCCTGAGGCTGCAGGGCGGGGGGAGGGAGGGGTGCAGGCAGCATGGGCAGCCTCCGCGGTCTCCTCCCCCACCACCACCCAAACCAGTTTGTAGCGCCTTCACCCCTCCCCTCTAAACCCGTCTGTCAACTCTGTGTCAACTCTGCTCCACGGGCAGGTGGGGGAGCGAGGCGCCAGCCATCCTCACGGCCAACACAAGAGTGGGCCGGGCACCCGCGGGGGCAGAGCCCAAGCAAATTCAGGGCCGTGCTCTCCTGACCGGCAGGAGCCAGCTCCCCCCTCCGCCGCCGCACCCTGTTACTTCCGCCCCCTCTCCTGTGTCCCCGGGGCCAGAGGAGGGCAGCACAGGAGTCTCTTTCTGTCCATCCATCCTTGCTGGCGGAGAGGAGGCTCTGGGTAGGTGTCCGAGGGGGCCGGAAGGGGCTGCCGGCCGGTGGCCTGGCTCAGTCCCTGCTTGTGCAGCCTGCGGCCCGTGGCAGGAACATCCCCGGGGGCACGGGCTGCGCCTTCAGTCCAGGGAGAAGCAAAGCCCGGAGACAGAGCTGAGTGGCGGCACCTTACACGTAGTTGCTGGCCGGGGCGGAGCGGGCGGCAGAGTACTTGGCCGAGTAGGGCTTGTCGGTGCGCGGTGGGCAGTTGCAGCACAGCAGGGCCCCCCCGAGGAGCAGCAGGCCCGAGGCGGCCCAGCCGACGTACAGAGAGGCACCCATCTCCCGCTTCTGGCCGGAGGCCACCAGCGGGTTGTAGAAGTCCCGGATGATGTTGTTGGCCGTCCAGGACACCGGCACCATTACCAGCAGGCCGGCCAGAATGAACACCACGCCCGCCACGATCATGGTCTTGGCCTTGGCGCTCTCGTCCTCCACACAGTTGGTGCACTTGCCGCCCACCACGGACAGCAGCACGCCCAGCACGGCCAGGATGATGCAGACGACCATGAGGGCGCGGGCCGCCTGCAGGTCCTGGGGCAGCGCCAGCAGTGAGTCGTATACCTTGCACTGCATCTGGCCGGTGCTCTGCACCACGCAGTTCATCCACAGGCCCTCCCAGATGGTCTGCGACGTGACGATGTTGCTGCCGATGAAGGCCGTCACGCGCCACATGGGCAGCGCGCAG